CTCAATATATCCCAAGGCTTTGCCTTCGGGAATATGATAAGCCATAAATACCCAATACAAAGAGGTCAAATCGTATCTTTTCATAAAGATGAATTTGAATAATTTCTTTAATAGTAGTCTAAGAAATGCCTTCGCTTTTGCCTTTTTGTTTGGTACGAGCAACCACCCATTCCTCGTGCACTCTTTCAATTTTTACTAATTTGATTATGAAGGGTTAATTTTTGATGGACTTGGAATAAATTTGATTCCCTTGAGCCTCTTCTATGTGCAACAAGGCAATATATTCTTTGATGTATTAACCATGTATTATCGATTAAAAGTGAAATAGTTGTACCCTGGATTTCAAAATTGAATCAAGGCTCGGAGCAGCTCATCATCTATGTCAATATACAACATATAAGAAATGTCCCCATAACAATGGTAATACTGTAGTTTCTTGCTCGATACCCATTTTTCCCAAATGTCTTGTAAGTCTTGGATGCCATTTCTTTTAAGAGAAACTGGAGCATAACCAACAAAATTTGTCACATGATGGGCTTGTAAAATGTCCCCTTCCTGTCTTTGAAGTGCTTCAGACCACTGTCGTACCTCAGAGTTTTGAACTACTTGATTCAAATACATTTCGTCCATTACTGAAAGCTTTACAATTTGATGATTAACTGAAGATCAACACCCTCAATCTTGAATGATGTAATGAAAATAGCAAAAATAAAATAAAAACTCACAAAACGGAAACGAGTTATTACAGGTAACGAATTAACAAAATTTTGGAAAAACACCTACCCATCATGATAGCTACCCAAACATGTTTTTTATTAAATAGCAATACTACCCAAACATGTTTTCTAACCCATATACTTTAAGTAATATGGTAAACCTTAAATCGTATAATTTTCTAATTCACGTGCATTTATAAAAAAACAAAAAGATAATCTACTAAAAGGCGAAGGTTAGAGTTCGTTTCTCCTTTGTGTACACTTATTTAGGTACTTACAGACAAAGTTTCAGCATGGTCTTAGATCGGGTAGCTTTCCACAATTTACTATATGCAGAGTTCTGGTTCTAGGAGTAAAGGTACTTGAATTATCCTTGTCGGTGCCCCCGTGGGTGAGCCAGACCCTCAATCCTCACCCATTATTGGCTTAAGCGGACCGAGTTCAATTTAAGAGGGCACATTTCCCTATGCCTCAAACGGAGAATAAATCCTCATGAAGACATAGGGCATATGAACTTCGGAAGCTACTTGCTAGGTCTGACACGGAGAATAAATTCTCATGAAGACATTGCTTTCACTCTCACTTAAAGGGGAAAGAGCTCGACTATAGAGCTTATGTTTATGCAATACACATGTTGTGTATGAAGAGAACTTCTCAAACCTTTGACAAACAACCACACAAAAAATCGAACTAAAGCGAATCCAATATTTCAATATCTGAAAATCAATCAAGTGCACACATTAGTATACAAGGATATAAAATTAAGCAAAATAACAATCGAAAGGAATCAAAGCAATCATAAATTAAATAAATTAAATAAAATGAATTTCTCAATTCCTAACTATAGAGGTAATATATAATTGATTTAAGGCTTGACCCTCTACATCCCTAGTGGAGTCGTCAAGTTGTCGTAATCGATTTTCGATGATACGACGTGTCTCAACTCAATTTTTGAAAAATTTGATTTCTGTAAAAGAATTGTTTTGGAGTCACCATCGACCTTTTGTGTTAGGTAGGTCGAATACCCATAAACCATCTTTTAAAAGATTTTTTAAGAAATCATCATTTTAAAAGTTACATCGATCTACATGTAACAAGAAATTTATTCATTTTTGTATTAAAAAGAAAAAAGTTAGGGGATCGATTACGTATGAGGAAGGATAAGCATCCCCACAATGCCCAAAATTTGTACCTCATCGATTATAAATTGTCTCTAATAGTGTAAATTTATGAATTTGAATATAAATTTAAGTTAAGATCCCATTATTCCAAATTCAACCATGCAATTTTTATTGAACGAAAAATTCTAAGGAGAAATAGAAAATATTTCAATATTTCCAATTTAAGAGACAATAATCCGTAAAATACTTTAGGACAAATATTTCTCTTTCCAACTTAAATAAAAGGAATATAATAATTTCTCCCAAGAATTCAAGATTAAAATAATTTTATTCGACCCAAAAAAGAAATTAAGCCAATTTATCCAAATTATATATGATTAGAAAAGACAAGGGATATTCAATTATTTAAAAATATCGAGAATTAATCCCTAATAAAATTAGGCGAATTGTCTTGATAAGTTTAAATAAGCAAAAATTTCCTTTTCCCTTCAAACTTGATTAGTTTTAAATGTAGTCAATTTTTGTTTTGGGGGGGTTTCTAGTAGGGTATTTATTTATTTTAAAACATCGTAATATGACATCTAGTTACTTTAAGATATTCCCTTCTTAATATTTTAAAATAAATAAATATTACCCTTAATCCAATTATGTAATCGGTTGAGTTATGCTTAAGAGGCTTTCAGGCGAAATAAAATGTCCTCATTAAAAATAAATGCCTAAATAAAATATATTTAAATTAAAAAGGTAATTTGAAGCATTTAAAGAAAATATTATAAATATACATATGGACTAAAAACAATTTAAGGTGTTTTAATTGAGAAATAAAAAAAAATAATCATTTTGCACGAAAGTCATTGAAAATACACCTCCCTTATAATTAAAATTTTCTTGTGGATTCCTCTCATAGAAACTTGGATTTAACTTTTTTTTTACTTACTAAAATCTATATATATATATATATATATATATATATATATATATATATATATATATACATGATATTTAACATAGAACATAATATTTATTATAAAATGTACTAAGATATAAAACATAACATTCATATACACAATGCAGTACCTGTAGTATTATATAAATATATATGATAAAGTAATATATAATAATGTACGTGAAGTAAATATATAATATATAAAACAACTTAATGGTACAATATAAAACAATATACATGTGGATTCATTTGTAACATAGTGACAAAAAATAAATGCATAGTAAATTTGAGATCATAAAATAAAGAAAAAGCATCAAGGCATGAAACAGGAAAATCAGATAATATGACATAAAGATCAGTAGCCAATCTCGATGAAGTAATATATCAAACATATGACTAAATGAAAATAATACAAAACCGTACATCCAATTCGAAAATTATATAAAATAAAAAATGAAATGGTGACCAAAGCGTAAAACGCGCTAAACCTGAAGGGACCTAAGGCGAATTTGACCTAAAATATGGGTATTTAAACTATGTTTCAGCTAAACCCCCAGCCCTAGCCGCATAACTCACCCCTCCCCTATTTTCTTCAAAACTAAAAACCTGATGCTCTCCTATGCCCATGTTCGGCCGAGAACCAACTCCCTAAAACACCAACCACCACACGTTGTAAATCAGTGATAAACAACCATCCACACGCCGACCACCACCATCGGTGGTAGGACAAACCTGAATCTTTCAAAAATACTCGAAAACTATTCATAAAATGAAATCTAAGACCTCGATTTAGGGTTTGACGAACCAAAAATGAGAGCCTCAACCCGATGAGCACTCCTTACCCGACGACTAACATCCGGTTACCTCACTTCGACGAGATAAAACCACGTCAGGTATTAAACCACTCATCACCTTTTATTTTTTTATATTTAAAACCTTCCCCATACATGTAACATATTGCTCGGAAAAAGAAAGAAAGAAATGAAATAAAAAAAATACCTCTTGTATTGCTTCAAATTATTTTTTGGGGAGTTTAGAAAAACCAACCCTTTTTTAGTGAAAAAATAGGGTTATTATAACCCCAAAAATATTACAATTTCAACTTATTTTGGTGTATTTGGTTAATGCAATGTGAGACAGAGGGTATGGCAATGTAGGTGATGTTGGTTGAAGTGTTGGATGGCACGGCATAGGGCTGCTGCAACCAAGCATGGCTGATGGAACCAGGCATGGTTGATGGCAGGGTATGGCCTTTTTGCATTTTAAAATAATTTATGTGATATATTTTTTTGGGGTAAAAAATTGGTGCGTACAATTGGTCTAGTGATTTGTTTGTTATCCTAATTGTTACTACATTCCTTGCCTTTAATATTCTAAATTTTTACCTTTCCTATAAACCTATCACTATTTCATTCCAAACTTATCTTTTGCAAAGAATCAATAATTCTAAGCTATAGTTCCTTACTCTCTATGGATTCGGCATCTGATACACCTTGTGTATCCACTTTATTACTTGATATACGACACATGCACTTATATTGAATGTTGTAACAATATTGTAGCATCAAGGTTTTTGCACCGTTGTCTGGGGAGCAATGGTATTCCATTAGAATTGTTTTTCTTTATTTTCAATAACTTTGTTTATTTTTAGTTTGTAGGTACATTTTAATGTAGCATTGTTAGCACATTACACGCATCAACATTCATCACTTAGAACCATTTGATATGAAAATTGAGCGAAGTATCCACCAAAGGAGGCAACAACAACAACCAAACATGGCTCAGTATAGTGCTATACCTTTACAACATATTTTGATGTCGCAGAATTACCACAACATCGATGATCACAATATGACAAATTGAAAACATGTTGTGCCGACCTTAGATGATCTAAATCCTGACATCGTTAGACCTGCCATCCATGATGCCCACTTCGAGTTGAAGCCTATAATATTCCAAATGTTGCAGTGTATGAGGTAGTATAATGGTTCATTCATTGAGGATCCTAGAGCACACTTGAGGGCATTCATAGAAGTATTTGATTCGTTTGTTCAACAAGGAGTGCCCGAGGAAATTTTGAAACTGAAATTATATCCTTACTCTCTTTGTGACAAAGCCAAGTTGTGGCTTAGCTCATTGCTGCCTGGAGCTATATCATCATAGAATGAACTTACCCAAAAGTTTTTATTACAATTTAATCCTCCCAACATAAATACAAGAATGACGAATGACATCACATCTTTCAAGCAATTAGAGGATGAAAATTGGTATGAAGATTGGGATCGATTTAAAGATTTGCTGAGCAAATGCCCTATGCATAGTTTCCAGCATTGGACACAAACATATATATTCTATAATGGTCTTAACATGCAAACGAGAATGGTTGTAGATGCATCTATCAGTGGAGCATTGTTGGACAAGCCTTACAATGAAGCTTACGAAATCCTTGAAATATCTCCAACAATGACTACCAATATCCTAACACAAGGATTATATCAGGTAGACACAATGCTAAAATAGTGGACAATGATGATAACATCAAAATGGTCTCATAGATTCAACATTGTCTGATATGGTGATGAAGATGCAACAACCTAGAGTTATGCATAAAGTTAAATTATCATGTATTATTACTTGTGTTAATTGTGGTGAAAATCATAATTTCGAGGACAATGCATACACCTATGAGAACACCTACAATCTGAACTTCGAGAATCATTTTGATCTATCATGGAGAAGTCAAAAATGTAGACAACCCTAATGAAGCATTGAATCTATATTTTAAGAATACACAACCACAACATCAGTTGCAAAAATACTATATGCAGCAACAATCCATGTTGTCATATCAACAGACACACCATCAAGCAATGCAACCACAACAATGTAGCAACCAACAGAATTATCAAGGATAATATTCTAATCAAGCCACCACCTAAACCTCCCTTGAGTCTCATTTGAAAGTGTATATCTTAAGAAATGAGGTGAGAAATCAAAAGAATGAAACTTTGATACAAAGTCAGTCAGCATCACTAAGGGAATTAAAGAATCAAGTTGGACAGTTGGTTAATACATTGAAAAACAAACAATAAAAAGCATTGCCAAGTGACATTGAAATTACTTGTAACCAAAATTTCAAGGCTGTCACAATAAGAAGTGGACTCCAACTTAGGAATAATGATGAACATAAAAAATAGGATGAAAGGTATAAATTGCAACCTAAAGGAAAAGAACTGAAAAAGGTGATTGAGTCACCAACATTTCATGTCACAAAAAATGATGTTGACGAGTGCAACAATTCTAAGTCATTTCCACCAGCAATGCCAACAACACTACCACCTGTGATGCCACCAAAAATGGATAACGTACTAGTACAAGTGGACAAATTCATCTTTCCAGCAGACTTCATTATCATAGATAGTGTAGCTAACAAGGATGTGCCAACAATGTTGGGCAAACCTTTCCTTACTATAACACGAGCACAGGTTGATGTCCACAATGGAGAACTCATAATGTGTCTAAATAACCATTAGATTACATTCAATATTTTGCAATGCGATGAAAATGTTGAATGTTATGTTGTTGGCATTATTGAGGGAACAAAACAAGAACACTCGGATGAATGTTGGAGCATATTTAATGGGAATAAAATGAAACATTATGGTTGCAATATACCCCAACACATTTCCTCGATTTGGTTCTATAAACTCAGGTCTTACTAGTTTATATTTTTTTATTTTATCAGTTTTCTATTATTTTCTTTTTAGGTCATGTTTTAATATTGATCAGCACAGCATCAGCCAACACATGATGTCTTTGCTTCAAAGCATCAACTAGAGTTACAGACAGTCATTGTTGCAACATCATCTTCCAGTAAGAAAAAAATGTAGTTGAAAGAGAAGACATCATCAAAGACCTACCCAACTTTTTCCAACCCAAGAAAGACTCGTTAGGGGAGTATTGCTTCCATTCTCCCATTTACTCTTATTCATGTTTTTATTGTTGTGTGTATTGAGAACAATGCATATCTTAGGTTTGGGGTGTGTTGTTTATATTGTGTCATTCATATATGTTGTTTATATTTGTATTTATCATATTACATTTGTTTGTTTGACATGTGAATTGATGCTCATATTGTTTAGATCATTTAGGATATTGTATATATAATGTTGCATGTATAATTCTTATAGATTAATGAAGCTTTTTTATGATTTTTTTATGATGCTTGATGATGAATAATTAGTTGTGAAATGTCATGGGAATGTTTTAGATACTTGTTAGGATTCATAGATAATATTTTAAACAATAAATGTATGTTCTCAATTCTTATAGAAATTAGAAATTTTTTAACATTAAATCTCATATCTTTATTATATTTCATAGCAATCTTATTTAAAAAAAAAAAAAGATTGGTTGCTTATTTTTTAACTATATTTTTATCTGTTGAAACTTCATTTGATATTTTTAGAGATAGAAATATCTTTATGTATGTTAATCTTGTTTATATTTAGAAATGGAAATCATTAAGATTGCTTGCTACTTTTGTAAAACATCTGTATTTACAAAAGTGAGTTTAAGCATATGGAGATGTATGCTACCGATTGTCATTACTTTTTTAACTGCTTGATTAATGAAATTAGTGAAATTTGATTTTCATTGGTTAAGTGTTTAATATTTTAAAGGGGATTAATGTGTTAATCATTGCATGTTTCATAATCGTATTACCATAGCATAATCATATTGTTAACTGTGAAATGAAAACAACATTTATTAGTCTAGTGGTCTATTTGCTCTCCTGATTGCTACTACATTTTTTGCCTTTAATATTTTGAATTTTTACCTTTCCTATAAACATATCACTATTTCATTCCAAACATATCTTTTGCAAAGAATTAACAATTCTAAGCTTTAATTTCTTGATCTTTGTGGGTTCGACATCTGATACACCTTGTGTATCCACTTTTATTACATGATATACGACACGTGCACTTGCTTTGAATGCTATAACAATTTTGTAGCATCATGTCCCAACTGTGAATGGTTGCGACCTATAAAGTTGTATCAGTATATGTTGTACTGATGGGTAACAATGTATCATGTAAGATTGCAGATACTGGTACTGTCAAAGTCAAGATGTATGATGGCATTGCCAAAAACCTGATTGATGTTCGCCACATTCTAGATTTGGAGAGTAACCTAAGTACCTTCAACATAAAAAGATATAAGTACTCTACTGAAGGTGAAGTTTTGAAGGTTAGTAAGGGTTCACTTGTTATTATGAAGGGACAGACAAAGAATGAAAGGTTGTAAATTCTCGAAGGGTCTATGTGTTGAAAACATTTTGATGTTTCGATATAAAAAATAAATTACTATTGAATTTTAAGATTTTATATTCAAATCATATATTCGATTAAATTATTCGAATATCAAAAATATTACTTCAAGTTTTCAAATGTCAATTTTAATCCTTACTTAAGTGTAAAATTGTGTTTTAGTCTTAAAATATTTTTGAAACAATTTTCACAAAGTATTTTGAACCTTAATCGAGCCAAAAAACAAGTTTTGTGAAGGGAGGTACCGATACACTCTTGGATGTATCGATACACCCCCAACATCGAGTGTAATTTGGGTATCGATACATAGTTGATGTACCGATACACTTATGGCTCCGAGAAACATTGAATGTAATTTAGGTACCGATACACTCTTGAGTGTACTGATACACTAGGTCAACCAATGGTTGAAATATTTGAATTCTACACTGAGTGTACCGATACACGTTTGATAGTGTACCGATACACCTATGCCCCCAACTGATTTTTTAAATCGTATTCATACCACAATGGCTCTATTGACTTAACCAATGATCCCCAACATTTAGAAGTGATCCAAGGTTTATTTAAACAAGCTTAGGAGTAATTGATCAAAAACAAGAAACAATAATTGAGGGAGAATCAAAGAGAAAGCATCAAACCTTATTCTTTGAGCATTTTAAGCCTATTTTTCATTCAATATTCATTTTGCTTTCAAGAACACTTTTTTACTCAATTGCTATCATTCTTGAGTGTTCTTTCTTTGTTCTATAATTGTGCAAACATCTTGCCTTATGAGGTTTTTTGTAAGTTTGCGAAATTTGTATTGTTCTCTTTGGGAGAGAGTATTATCAAGAATTTGGGGTATAATTCTTGAGGGAGTTGTAAGGTTACTCTTTGTCCTCAAAAGAAAGAAAAATTAGTGAATTTATGGAAAATCCTTTGTATGGATAGCTAAGGTAGTGGATGTGGACTTTGGTTGAGAAAGTCGAACCACTCTAAATCGCTGTGCAAATATTTTCAATTTTCTTGGCTATTTCGTCGATTGACTAACTCAACAATTGGTATCAGAGCCTCACTTATTTGAAGGTTTAACCAACTCTTGAGTCAATTCGGGAAGAGTTAAATCGATAAAGATGACATCCACTTCTGGTTTATTCTCTATCAAAGACTCCAGACCAATTGATGTGCCTCCTTACTTCAATGGAACAAACTATCATCGTTGGAAGAGGTTAATGATGGTATTTATCCAAGAACATGAACTTGAAGCTTTGATGATAATCAAGAAAGGATATTCCTCTCCTACGAAGAAGGCAAATAAGTGTAGTGATAAAGAACGGAAGAAAGCTCAGCAAAACACAAAGGCTATGCACATGTTATGTTGTGCAATTTATCCAGATATCTATAAAGGAGTTTCTTCTTATTCAAAAGCCAAGGAGATGTGGGATAAGCTTGAGGAAATATATAAAGACGAGAAAGACGAACAAATAACGGTGATGTCTCTATTAGCTCTAGAAGAGCCCAAGGTATCTTAAAACTCAAATAAATTAGATTCATATTCTTTTAATGAGTTACAAGATGCTTATGATGAGTTATTTTCGGAGTTTGAGATCATGAACTCCGCATATAAGAAATTGATTTCTATATTTAAAGCTAAAAATGATATTCTTTTGAAAGCTAAAATAGACTTGGAAAATTAGAATGAAACGTTGAAAAATGAGTTAGAGCTTTCAAAAATGAAATCTGAAAACTTTGAATATTTTTTTGAATTAAACAAACTTCTTCTAGAAACTAAAACAGATTTCGAAAATTAAAATGAAATATTGAAGAAGGATTTAGAGCTTTCAAAAATGAAATTTGAAAGTATTGAAACAGAAAATTTCGATTTGAAAGTTAAGCTTTAATGCTTAACAAAAAAAAAGAGATCATTTTAAATAATTCACCTAGTTCAATAATGACAAAGTGTTCACATTGTCATTATCATGGTCACAAGGAACATACTTGTCCTTTAA